TATATATATATATATATATATATATATATGAAAAAGTGACACGCTCAGAATTATCCTTTAACTAAACCCCTCAAGGTTTGTCTGAAGCATGGACTTGGAAACAAAGCTGTGAGTTAACTCCTGGTTATAAAGCTTATTAGCTGTGTGAACTTTATTATAAAGCTTATTAGCTGTGTGAACTTTATCAAGATATTAAACATTCTAAGCCTCAGTCTTATCAACTGTAAAGTGGGAAGTAAATGAGACAATGAATGTAAACCCCTGGGACATAGTAAATGTTCAATAAATGGTAGCTCTTATTATTATCATCATCATCTATTAGGTCTAGTAATAATTAATGTCGTTTTCTAATACTTTTTAAAATCGAATTTAAACAATACAACAAAATTTAATCAACAATATAGTTGCCGTTGTTTTCTACTACTTGTGCCCAACGCTCAGGAAGCATTTTAATCCCTCTGGGTCTAGTAATAATTAATGTCGTTTTTAAACATTCGTTTAAAATCTTGCTTGGCGTTGACTTGTATTGACATAACCTTCAAACACGTGGTATCTACAGAACGTGTGAAGTGCAATTAACAAGTTTTGCTTGAAAAAGTTTGTGTTTGGTTTGGTTTTTGTTGCAAAACTAGGGCTAAGAAGATGGCGGATGAAGAGCATATTCGGCACTGCATGCTTTACAAGTTCCAATTAGGAAAAAAAGCAAATGAGGCTGCAAAAAACATCTGTAGTGCTCTTGGTCAAGATGCAGTTAGCGCCAGAAAATGCCAGCGTTGGTTTGAGAAATTTCGCGAGGGAAATTTTTCGTTAGATGACAAGAGTGGTCGAGGCCGTGTGTCCAATTTTGATCAAGAAGCTCTTCAAGCTCTTTTGGTGCAAAATCCTCAAATTACTCAACAAGAGCTTGCGACAACTTTAAATTGTTCACAAAAAACAATTTCCAATCAATTGCGTGCACTTGGCAAAGTCCAAAAGTTTGGAAAATGGGTTCCTCATGAGTTGACCGACAACAACCGTAATCAAAGAGTCACAATTTGCAGTTCGCTCCTCTCTCGTCAAAACCGTTGGCCGTTTTTAGAGCAAATTGTTACCAGAGATGAAAAATGGGTGCTGTATGTTAATTTGAAAAGGTGGCCTCAATGGTTGGACAAAAATGAGGCTCCGCAGCCCACGCCAAAACCTGACTTGCATGCGAAAAAAGTGATGTTGTGTGTTTGGTGGAATTTTAAAGGAATTCTTCATTATGAACTTTTACCATCTAACCAAACCATTGCAAGTGCAGTGTATAGTGCCCAATTGGAAAGGTTAGCCCAAGCTTTAAGAGAAAAAGAACCCGCGCTGATTAATCGGAAGGGCGTAATTCTTCACCACGATAACGCACGACCACATACTGCAAGAATCACTGCTGAAAAACTGCGCCAGTTGGAATGGGAAGTTCTCCCTCAACCTGCATATTCTCCTGATATTGCCCCTTCCAATTACCATTTGTTTCGTTCTTTGCAAAACTTTCTTCTTGGAAAAATATTTAATAATGAAGAATGCCTCAAAAATGCATTGACCGAATTTTTTGCATCAAAATCACAAGAATTTACAACAGAGGGATTAAAATGCTTCCTGAGCGTTGGGCACAAGTAGTAGAAAACAACGGCAACTATATTGTTGATTAAATTTTGTTGTATTGTTTAAATAAATTCGATTTTAAAAAGTATTATAATAATAATAGCCTAGGAGGCACCACGCCCTCACGTCATCACAAGATGGCTGCGTGCACAGTGGAGGTGAGGCCTGGTGGCCGGAGGGCATGCAGAAGAGGAGGCGGGTTGCAGCAGGGGAGGGCAATTAGGGGCAAATCAGGCCAGCAGGGAAGTGGTTAGGTGGCAGGCAGATGAGTGGTTAGGAGCCAGCATTCCCAGATTGTGAGAGGGATGTCTGACTGTGGGATCAGGCCTAAACTGGCAGTTGGACATCTCCTAAAGGGTCCCAGATTGGAGAGGGTGCAGGTCAGGCTAAGAGACACCCCCCTTCACTCCCATGCATGAATTTCATGCACTAGGTCTCTAGTTAATATTATAAGCCTAGAAGTTCAGAGGCCCATATGGGAGTTCAGATAAGATATACTGAGATCCTGAGTAGGGATAAAATAAATAGGATAATCTGAGATTTAGAAGAGAGAATTGACAAGACCTGATAACCAGGTGATGGAAGTGTGAGTAATTGAGAAAGAGGAACCACTGATGAGCACTAAATCTAAAAAAAGAGTGACTGAATGGCTGGTGACTGATGGTACCCCTGACAATATGTAAGACAGAACAAGTTTGGGAGTCTGATTTGCATTGAGAAAGAGGTATACATTCAAGAATGGGTACCCAGATGAGTTTGGAGTCTGAGGTGCAGGTGTCAGATGTGTTTAGAGTTAGAGAAGCAGATGCCGTAAGTATCTCATTCCTACAAAGTGGGTTTCAGTCAGAAGAGCAATGAGCTAAGTCAAACCCTAGGAACACCTACTATTTAGGGGCAAGGAGAGCAAGAAAAGCCTCAAAGAAAGAAAAGAACCACAGAGGACAAGAAAAGCCAAGAGGGCTTTTTAATAATGAAAGCTAAGGGAGCAGGATCTCACAGAGAGAGTCATCAATGGGGCCCAATGTAGTTCAGAAGTCCAGAGAGCCCTTGGAATTTAGCAGAAACGGCTGCTGATTTTAGACCAGAGGGCAATTTTAATAGGACAATGAGGACAGAGCTTGACTTACAGTTAAATTACAAATGGGAGTGAGGAAGTAGAGCTACCATAAACTTTGTAAAGTTTCTGAAGAGGGCCCTAGCTGGTTTGGCTCAGTGGACAGAGCATCAGCCTGCAAACTGAAGGGTCCCAGGTTTGATTCCGGTCAAGGCACATGCCTAGGTTGCGGGTTAGATCCCCATTAGGGGATGTGCAGGAGGCAGCCAATGAATTATTCTCTCTCATCATTGATGTTTCTATCTCTCTTTCCCTCTTTCTTCCTCTCTGAAATAAAGATATATATATAAGGAAGGAGTATAGGATCAAAGGTTAGGTTAAAAATTATTTTTAGGATGGAACACTCTGAGCATTTTGTGAGCTGAGAAGGAAAAGGTAGATAACAAAGGGTGATGATGCAGGAGAGAGAATTGCTGACAAAGCAAGGTCTTTGAGGAATAGGAAGGAATTTTTAAGCATCTACTGTATCAGGGGCACCTGTGAACAAACCATCAGAGCAGAGTGTGACACGGATGCTGGTCTGTGGAATGCCTTCCACAAAAGGACCACAGAGAGGCTGACTGTGAGATTCCCAAACTTAAGCCTGTGCCTGCTTACCTCTGCCCAACACGGTGTCTGGCACACACCTCCTAGGCATTCAATGATGTTCTTGGTATGAATTAGTGAATATTCTTGTCAGAAACATTATTTGAAGGAGAGAAATTTGTTAAAGAGATATACTCCAAGACAAAGGGAATGTAAATACTAATATAATGAACTATTAACAATAATAATAGTAAACGTGCTGAGAAAACATATGCATCTAAGAGCTTTCTGGGCAGCTGAAGGCTGAGTTGGGGAGATGGTGGCACCGGGTTCAGAATGCAGAGAAGACCTGCAGTGGTTCCAGAACTCTCTCTGACCAAATATATATCCCAATCTGCAAGCTAATGCTTAAAATTCATTTAACCAATTTAAGAAGGAACAATTCTTTTCATCTTAAAATTATAAAGGATTAAAATCAAATTCACCACAAAATCAAATCAGTCAGATAGATTCTGGCTCAGAAGGGTCTGGGTCCAAGCAAAGTTCCACCTTATTCTGGCTGTGTGTTCCTGGCCAGGTCCCCTAATCTTCTCTGGGAAAGTAGACCATGTGATAGAGGAGTCCCCAAGTCCTTTTCAAATCAATTGCTCAAAGGTTTTGAAATAGTGAATCTTAACCTTCTGGGGTCACATACTCATCTGAGAATCTAAATGACAGCTATGAATTCTACTTACCGAACCCCAAAATAAACAAAGACACATTCATATAAAATTCTAAAGATCACTTAAGAAATCCCTGACTGTAGATTTTCTTCCTAGAGGGAAAATAGGCAAAGTGCAACGCTTCATAATGATGCTTTGTCTTCCTGAAAAGTACTGGGTCAGCCACCGGTGCAAGACCCACGGTGACCAGTTTGCTGTGTCCACTTGAACTGTATGTTTCCTCATCTCTGAAATCCCAAGTGCCAAGTATAGTGCCCTGAATATATTAAGAACCCTCTTAATTTGTGGGTCATAATGGCTTAGATGTAGAGATCTCGACATTTCAGACCTTTGGTGCTTCAGAATGAGCCCAGCTGCAAATCTTCCCTTTGAGAATCAAGTCTGGATTCATAGCAATCACTATGGGCCTACTCTACAGGGTCTGCCAACTTTCCAAAACTGACTTCCATTTCATTAAAGGGGCTTAGCACCGCAGACTATAAACTATGCCTCATTCTAGAGCAGAATTTGATGGCTCTTCCCTTTACCCCAAAAGAAAACACATGGTATCTGCTTTTTAGTAGAAATCCCTTGTATTTATATAACTCTTTATACTTACTGGTTTCCATACATCAAATATTCATCTGGGAGGTAGGCAATATAGGCAGTACTCCCATTTTAAAGATAAGAAAAGAGAATATAACATTTAGGTGATCACAGAAAGGGCTTTCTACAGCACCAGGACCCCAAGTCACATTTTTGTAAATATGATACTTTTTGTGAGCCTCGTAATAAGAAAGTATGAGAGGCCTCTTTAAAGTGACCAAGCAAAACAGCTATGACATTTAATAAAATGTTCAGGGGTAACATCTAAATAGTACTTATGATTTTAGAAACTGAAACCCATACCAATTGAAGCAATTTTATACATAATAAAGTTTCATTTTTTTCAAAATTCAATAAGAATCAAACCAGCCTTTTATGATTTTTTATAAAGCAGAATCCACTGTATACAATAAGAGGGATAATTCTATACTTACCTATTGCACAATGTAAAATCTAGAGGAAAAAAGAAGAGAAAAAGAAAATTAGCAGAGATCAATAATATTATATAGCTTTATTTCATATAAACTAGCCTTTCAGTAAGAATAAAGTATTAAATTTGAAAAACAAACATTCCATTTTTCAACTTGGATAGGAGCAATTTAATAAAATGTAAATTCTTATTCAGTTTTTTGTTTGTTCATTTTTATTTTATCTATGGAAGATTTCAAAAAAAGCAAATCTCACCCAGTAGTCATATGTAAACTTATAAGAGCAGTAAGTATACACTGAGTGGCCAGATTATTATGACCTCTGAATGCATAATAATTCAGTGTATATCCTATATAATAAAAGGTTAATATGCATATGTCCCCTTGACCAGGAGTTCGACCAGCAGGCAGGCTGGCCAACCGCCCATGTCCCCTCCCCCTGGCCAGGCTGGCTAGACCCCACCCATGCATGAATTCATGCACCATACCTCTAATACACACACACACACACACACACACACACACAAACACACACACACTCTGAGTGGCCAATTATGTGTTCAGAGATCATAATAATCTGGCCACTCAGTGTACATCTCCCATGTCTCACGTTCTACAGAACAGAACTGTCAAAGACAAGAGAACACAAGGTCAGAAAAGACTTTGTTGGCACCTTTTGTCTGGCAGACCCTTCAACATAGACATTCATTCTACAAAGCTCTTCCCTTCATTAGTATCTTGTCTCATTCCATGACCTCATTACAGGGATGCTCCTGGTCTATCTCTAACTCTGCATCGCTTTGAGCTCCAGGCCCACATTCCAAACTGCCTTTGAAATCTCCATCCAGCTGCACCAACAGCAGTTCAAACGTGGCATGCCTCAATGGCAAACACACCAACCTTCTAGTCTCTCAGGTGCAACTATTCTTTCCTTCCTCTCAACCCCAAGTCCAACTGGTTTCCAAGTCCTGCCAATACTTCTGGCATCTCTCTTCCCTGTTATTTTTTAATTCCAGTGCCTGGAATGAGAATGCCATCTCTTCATCTCAAAGGCCATCCAACGAACCAATTAGGTTCTTCTAAATCCCCTTCAAATTAACCCTGGTGGTGGTGGTAAAGAAATAATTTGAAGCCATCTATAAGACTGATTTAATGACCAAAGCTTTCCTAAATGATAAGACTTATCAGCTATTGTAGTGCATTATAAAATTACATTTCTCTAGCAGTCTTGTGTTGTTTGACCCTAACAAGTATCCTGGTAGGTAGGCAGGACAGACATCTCTACACGCAGATGAGAAAACCAAGGCTGAGAGAGGCTGCACAATTTGCCCAAATAAGTGAAGTCTAGAATCAAGAAGCTAGGTTTTATTTCTACTCTATTGGTTTTTCTGTCATAGTACTTCCTGGAACGGTATTAGTTTTATTATCTATAGAGGCCTAATTTGACAAGACTTGGCTTATCTAAAACATGCTTGATAAGACAGCTCAAAAACTATTACAGTAGTCCCCCGCCTTATCGTGGTTTCAATTACCCATGATCAACTGCAGTCTGAAAATATTAGAAGGAAAAATCCAGAAGCAATTAGTAAGTTTTAAATTGTGCATTGTTATGAGCAGTGTGATGAAATCTCTCCCACTCTTTCTGCACAGGGCATGAATCATCCCTTTGTCCGGCATTTTCACACTGTATATGCTACCTACCCATTAGTTAGTAGTCACCTGGGCTATCAGATTAACTATTGTGATATCAAAGTGCTTGTGTTCAAATAATCCTTATTTTACTTAATAATGGCCTCAAAGCACAAGAGTAGCGATGCAGGTAATTCAAATATGCCAAAGAGAAGCCATAAAAAGGTAGACATGTATAGGAAAAAATATAGAATATACAGAGTTTGGTACTATCTTCAGTTTCAGGCACCTACTGGGGATTATCCCCTGTGGACAAGGAGGAGCTACGATATTTCAGTAAGTTGTTTTTTGGGGAGCATAGAGGGGAAACCTTAGATTAAAAAAATCAGGCTGCATGGATTTGTTTATAACTAATAAGAGAAAAGAATTACTATTCTGCAAATCTTATAATCTTTTCCTAAAGAAAACACTGCTAAGAATCTCAAATGTATGAATATCACAAGATGAGCTGGACCTCCTGCTGCAAAGTTGAAAAAAGTGAAAAGATATATGTAGATTGTTAAAATGAAGAATGGAAGACGTGGATGAAAAGCATACTTGAGCTTGGCTCAATGGATAGAGCATCGGCTTGGGGACTGAAGGGCCCCGGGTTCGATTCCGGTCAAGGGCATGTACCTTGGTTGCGGGCATATCCCCAGTGGGGGGTGTGCAAGAGGCAGCTGATCAATGACCCTCTCTCATTGATGTTTCTAACTCTCTATCTCTCTCCCTTCCTCTCTGTACAAAAATCAATAAAATATATTTAAAAAAAAAAAAAAAAGAAAGAAAAGAAAAGCATACTTGAAAACTTATTCTATCCATTTGTGTGGCAAGATATCCAGGCTGCTGATTAACAATAAGACTTTGCAGGAACGGGTATATATAGTGCTTGAGGGCTATCATGTTTTTGTTACATCATGAATCAGTGGGTCTTACTCCTATTAAACCCAATCTCCCCTTTTTAATCATATATATTTTATAACGCCTCCTTTACTAGCCTAAAGTGTAATTCATAGATGATATAACCTACCCACACAAAAAATTTCAGAAAAATACAATGTTTTAACTGATTTGTAAAGAAGAAATAAAAAAGAAAATAATTTACTTTTAAAAATATGTATTTCAGGATATAAATATTTGGGAACAATGTATGACATAATGAAGCAGTCAGATGTATATACCAACTTATAATGAATAAGTTTAAATTTAAAAATATCAGAAACCACCTTGCAAAAATAGAGTAAAACTAGAGGCCTGGTGCACAAAATTCGTGCACTCAGGGCGAGGGGGCAGGGGGAGAAAGGTCCCTCAGCCTAGACTGTGCCCTCTCACAGTCTGGGAGCCCTTGGGGGATATCTGACTGACAGCTTAGGCACCCTTGGGGAGCGGGCCTAAGCTGCCAGTCAGACATCCTTAGCACTGCTGCCGAGGCGGCAGAGGCTCCTGCCAATGCCTATGCACTCACCAGCTATGATTCTGCCACCTGGCAGTCAGTGCATGTCATAGCGACTAGCTGACCAGTTCGACTGTCTGACCCCTGGTGGTCAGTGCACGTCATAGCGAGCAGCTGAGTGGCCTGAGCATATCATTAGCACATTACGCTTTGATTGTTTGAACTGCCAACTGGACGACTTGACACTTAGCATATTAAGCTTTTATTATATAGGATAGTCCTGGTTGGGTAGCTCAATTGGTAGAGTATTGTCCCAGTATGCCAAGGTTGTGGGTTCAATCCCTGGTCAGGACAAATACAAGAATCAATCAATGAATGCATGGATAAGTGGAATAACAAATCCATGTTTCTCTTTCTCTCTACCTCTTTTTCTCCTCTCCTTCCTCTTCCTCTTTAAAGTCAATAAAATATTTTAAAAGAGATAATAATGAAAATATGGAAGTAATTTTAAGTGAAGTGGAATAATATGCCAAGATAAATACCAAAGTCGAGAAAATGAGGAAATACAATATTATTGTAAATCAGCTAGGTCTTAATCATTTATAAGTGTGGTATATAATCCCATAGGTTGTATCATGAAATGGGATAAAAAGCAACTATCACAGAAAATATCCTTCTGCTTTGAAATCCTGCTGAGATATTCAATCTGTTTAGTTTGTAAAAAGACCTTGGAATCCATTTTGCTTGACTGATGTAATAAGGAATAGAAGATGGATTAGAAAACAACAACCAGTAACGCAAGAGGCAAGAAAAGTAGTTGTATAATAGGTTGGGGATAGCTTTAGAATAAAACATAAAAACTACAGTGATCCCCCAAAAGACAGTAATAAGAAATATTACTAAAATAGTCCATATTAGAGAAATCCAATAAAACCCGACTGTCTCCACTAACTTAATAACTAAAATCTAAACAGGAACCTCTTATCTCCTGTTACATATTTTCAGTGTTTCATTGCGTTTGCAATAACAACACTATTGCACTGAAATCCTTTTCAAGTAAATAAGCAAGTTGGAAATGCTATAATACCTACAGAACAGAATGTGCCGTGAGCAGGTTACTCAATTATTTGCAGATCACACCTTTATTTCATTTAGGCTCCTTTTTCATATCAGCTGTGGTAGGCAGAATTCTAAAGATAATTCCCCAAGATTCCTGTTCCTTGATTATGCAGTTAAACACTAATCTAGGTATTTGGCAAATGAAATTGAAGTCCCAAATCAACTGATTTTAAGGTATGGAGATTATATGGGTAGGCCTAACCCCATTATGTGATCCCTTTTCAAGCAGCGATTTTGCCAGGACGGTGAATTCAGAGATATTCAAAGAACAAGTAGGATTCTATGAGCCATTGTTGGCTTCAAAGATGGAGGGGGCCATATGCAAAGACTGGAGCCAGGATGACCTCCTCTAGCTGACAGCCAGCAAGGAAATGGGCACTTCACACTACAACCACAAGGAACAGGATTCTGCCAACAAGCTAAATGAGCTGAGACACAGATTCTTCCCAAAGCCCCCTGAGTCAGCCTGGCTGACACCTTGATTTCTGTCTTGCAAGATCCTGAGCAGAAAACCTAGCCTCTACTGAACCATGGGCTAATAATAAACGAGTGTTGTTTAACTTGCTAAGTTTGTAATATTTTGTTATGCAGCAATAGGAAATGAAGACAACAACCATCTTCTAACTTAATAAGCTTTTTAACTTCTCATGAAGATGTTTTAGTATTAATATGTACTACAAGATTATCAATTTATATCTTTAGAGGGGTTAGCCTGGGGAGATTATACGAAGTCGGGGAGGGGGGCGGGGATGCAGAAGGAATCTTCACTGAGCTGGACTGTCTTAGGCATTGTGGGATATCTAGCAGCATCCCTATCTATTGTGGTGATCAAAATACCTTCACAA